CCTAACTGTGACCCCTGCCGCAGACCAACAGGGTGAGAGCCAGAGAGAAGGTATCTTCTGCCTGGGTAAGGAAGATAGCACCTAAAATCCCACATGCTTTCAGACAAGCAAACATGTAGTAAGCAATTCTCTGAAAATAAAGAATCAGCTCACCTTCTTCTGTAGAACTTTGCATGTTGCAAAAGCCCCAAATGGGATCTAAGACAAGATAAAGAAGAGTAAGAGCCTCCCCTCCTGCCAAGTTTTCATTTGTTCTCTGTAGGGCATTGACTTGAGGGAGAGGCAGGCAGAGGGGAGCATGACAAAATCTGCTGAGAAGAGCAATCCACCAGGGAAGGGCTGGGGAAGAAGAATGCTGGGGACGAGGTCAGTCCTGCCCCAATCAGTGGGCAGGAGGGGCCTTGTCCTATCTTGCCCATCCAGTTCCCATCAGGAACCCTGTCTTTTTTGAAGAATCCTGACTTTTCCAACATTTGAGGACTCTGTGGGTACATTTTCTAACTAGAGTTCTTGACTGTTATGTCCAAAGGATCATCTCAATTCTTTTGGACAAGAATGGAATCTAAGGAAAGATCTCTTGACTAGTACTTCTGTTTTTGTTTGTTTGTTTGTTTTGTTTTTGCTTTTAAGCCCTCTTCCAAATCTGTCTTTCCTGGGGAACATGCAATAAAAGAACACAATATAAATCAAATCCACATCCCTTACACTACCCTCAGTTTACCTCTGAGAGCTCACATTTAGAGATGTCAAGAATGTCATCTGCCCCAGCTTCTTTTGCCTAAGGAAAAAAAAAATTTTTTAAAAGAATTTTTTAAAAAGCATGCAAACAAAACAGGCAAAGAAACATAGAATTCAGGAGCTGCAAGGGACACAGCACAGTCTGGTTCCACCAGTCCATCCTGTGTGTGATCCCTGCTTCCCCGGAGTTTGAGGTCCAGCAGGGAAGAGAAGTCAACAAGGAATGAGTACGTTCAGCCCAAGGGGAAGTGCAGGGGTTAGTAGGGAAGATGGAGGCAGCTTGGGGCAGGCAGAGCCCTATTCCACTGGGCAGAGGAAGAGCTGAGAAGGAGTTGGAGGAAACCCGCTTTCCCTCACCAGGCACATCTGGTACTCTAGGCGTTTCCTCGCTTCCTCGCTGGGTTTCCGCTTCCGGAAGAAGAGTGGCATCTTTCCTTTTTCCCAGGGAAATCTTTAGGACACTGGTCGTAGAAGACAAGTCAGGGCCTGGGGAATTCGTTATAGCCCCTGACTCTCAGGACAGGCGGCAGAGTAACAGAGTTTGCAGTTGGCTGCTGGACTGTAAGCTCTAGGCAGGCAGGGCTGTGTCTCCCTTAGTCATCAGTACTCCTAGCCTACACAGTACAGCTCAATACTTTGGATGGAAAAATAAGGAGCAGGATGGGGTGAAAAGAGCACAAAGGCAGGCCAGGTCACCTGGGTTCAGGCCTACGTTTGCCACTGACCCACTGTGAGATGCTGGTCCTTCTCCATTCTGGATCCCCTCTCCCCTCTGCCTTAGGGGAGTTTCCTCAGGTTCCTCTGGGCCTCAGAGTAGCATCAGCAACACCCAACTAAATCAGCCATGACTTGGGGAGCTCAACTACATCATAACCAAAGAGATCCGTGAGTTAAGTAAAAGTTAAAAAGCAATCCTCGGAGCTGGGCATGGTGGCACACACCTGTATTCCCAGCAACTCAGGAGTCTGAGGTAGGAGAATTGCAAGTTCAAGGCCAGCTTGGACAACTCAGAAAGACTCTGTCTCAAAATAAAAACTAAAAAGGGCTGGGAATGTATCTCAGTGGTAGAGCACCTCTAGGGTTCAATCCTCTCAGTAACAAAAAGTTTTTTAAAAAAAAAAAACACCAAAAAAAAAAAAATCCAACAATCCTCACGCACCTTACCACCTTCATGGTTGTGACAGTTGTTCTATTTGATTCTCATCCCAGCACTGTTTATGGTGTAGAAACCAATGCTCACTAAGTGCAGTGATCTGGTTATACAGCCTGACTGTAGCAAACCCAGCCTGGAAACCTGCTCCTATCTGCAATTATCAATGTTGGATAAGTGACAGCAAGGCCTAGGAAACAATCGCCCAGGGAACTGGATGGTTCACATCATGGCCTTTGAGATGAAATATTACTGGGTTTGAGTCCAAGATCAAACCACCCACCAACTGTGTCAATTTGGTTCACCTCTCAGAGTCTCAGTGTCCTCATCTGTAAAGTGTGAGTAATAATGTTATTAACATGGGGGGGGGGTCTGTGAGGACCCAATGATTAATGTATGTGATGCCCACAGCACAGTACCCGGCAGTATAATCTCTCCCTAAGTGGACACTACAAAGCACTGTATAGGTGACACTGAATAAGGGACTACTACAAGAGCTAGGAAGAAGGGAAACAGTGCAACCAAAGAAGACACACCCGGTCCTCAGAGGGAGGACTCCATCCCTGGGCGTGGGCTGTCAGAAGTGGCTCTGCCAGGCCTGCAGAGCCAGCTCAGAGCCCTCTTGTCACCCACCTGCCTATAGGAATGAGAAATGATCTAAAAACAGCCCTTCTCCAATCCTCCCAAATGACCAGCACTTACTCTTTTGCTCCCTGATGACCGGCTACCCCTCACCCTCTAGAGGATGTCCAGCCCTCCTGACCTCCTTCCCAATGCCATATGGCTCCCCAATCCATCCCAAATCAGCTCCTTTCAATCTGCTTCTGATGTCTATCCCTCATCCGTTTCCTCCCCGAAGTCCGGTCCAGATGGGGAGAACCACACCCATCCTTCCCTGGCTGGACTGGGAATGGCTAACCTGGCTTTGTGGATGGAGAAATCCCCGAAGGTCCCTTGGGAGGACCCGAAGGCAGGCGGATCACTCAAAAGGCTTGGTCATGGACGTGGGGTCGCAGACCACCCAGCACGGAGCTGGTGGTCTTCTGCAAACACAGGAACTGGGGACGGAAACTCAGAACCTCAGAAAGTCATGCAGACTAGGATGACGAAGTCTGAGACTCTGGGAGCCGCAGAGTCTCAGAAAGAGTCAGACTGGATTTGGACCCGAATAGATTGGATTACTAAAATGCAAACACCATGAAAGGGCTAGAAAGGGTCTGGGATCGCCGTGGTACTGGGGTCCGGGAATGGGGGTGAGGACACCTCACGGGAGAGGCGGGGCTCTGGGATTGGGTGACAGGGACCCAGGAGTGACCCTCATGACAGGGAAACATGGGAGCGGCAGGACCCAAGATCTCAGGAACAGCCCTCTCTTCTCTGACACCTTGGGCTAAGTGGCCCGAACCCCCTTTCCGAATCCCTAGCCCAGCTCACCGCGGGTACCCGGCCCTCCAGCCGTCAGTCTTAGGCACCTGCCCACAAGCAACAAGGCGGCAAGGGCGTCACTCAGAGACTGGGCGGAGCCGTAAGTTCTCGCGAGAGCCGCGTTTTCCTGCCTATATCCGGCGTGGCAGCAGGGTTTCCGGCCTTTCGGCTTGGAGGAGGTCAAGGTGCAACTCTCTTCGGTCGTCCCGAATCCGGGTTCATCCGACACCAGCCGCCTCCACCATGCCGCCCAAGTTCGACCCCAATGAAATCAAAGTTGGTGCGTGCCCTAGCTGCAGCCGGGGCTGCGAAGGCGCCTTCTTTCTCCCCTCGGCCCTGGGCGCCGCGTGCTTTTCCCGTGCTGGTCTCTCGGGCCTTCTGGCGCTGTGCGGCCCTAACGGGTCTCTCTCCCGGTCTGGGCCTCAGCTTCCCCACGTGTAGATGGGGAGGGAGGAGCGGACGACCTTTGGCGGCCTTGCAGCCCGCATGCCTTAGGGTAAGGCTGGCCCCCGGGCGTTCTGCCCCCCCCCCCCCCGCTGGTAGTGTCAGCGGCGGGGGCTCGGCGCTGTCCACGCCCGAGGGAGGAGGGGTGCCTGTCTTGCCCGCGCTCAGGATCGTGGTGCTGCCAGTAAAGACGGGATGAGGGCTGTTCCTCGGGCCCGCTCCGCAGAGGCGCTAATTCTTCTTTCTCCCAGTGTACCTGAGGTGCACCGGCGGCGAGGTCGGCGCTACGTCTGCCCTGGCCCCCAAGATCGGCCCCCTGGGTCTGGTAAGTCATCCCCGCGAGGGACAGAGCAAGCCCTGGTTTGTGCAAACAGGACTAGACCTGAGCTGTTGTACTGGAACTAGCTACTGTAAAAAGGTCATGTGTGAAAAATGGGACCCATATCTTGAAATTGTGACATTCCACGTGTCTCAGCTGCTGCCTTTGGTGTTTGTGAGGGATGGGAGCTAGGAGCCAGGGCTTAGTGACATAGGGCAGTGTGGTTAGGGGAACGTAAGTATTGTGTGGGTGTTCTTGATGAACACAGTGGGCTGTATTTCCAACTCAACCTTGTTATCATGACTTAATGTACCTATTTTTTGTGTGTGGTGCTGGGGATTGAACCCAGAGCTTATGCATGTAAGGCAAGCACTCTCCCAACTGAGCTGTACCCCCCCCCCAGTTTTATACTTTGCTTGTATTGAATTGACCTATCTCTGAATATTATTAGGTCTGTATTTCTCAGACAGATCCCTTGCACCAAACACTTTTCCCCCTTCATTTTAACTGGTGTCTTGTTAAACTTCCTTGGCTCTTTGCTCAGTCGGCACTTATGGGACAACCATCCCATTTAGGCAAACTAAGTAGCGAATTCAGTGATCCTCGCCCTCATCATGGCCAGGCATTGGAACCTAGTATTAATTAAAGCTGCTTAGGTAGCCAGCCATGATGGCACAGGCCTGTCTGTAATCACAAGCTACTCTGGAGCCTGAGGCAGGAGGATCTCAAGTTTGAGACCAGCCTCAGCAATTTAGCGAGTTCCTATCTCTAAAAGGACTGGGGGGCATAATTCACACTAAAGCGCCCCAGGTTTAAATCCCCAGTACCAAAAAGAAAATGGGTCCCTAGGATACGGAAACTTTGGTGTTGGCAGGAGAGTAGTACTGGGCAGGTTTTAGGGCTGTGGTTCAGCTTTGAGCACAGTTTGATTATATACTTTTATTTCTACAGTCTCCCAAAAAGGTTGGTGATGACATTGCCAAAGCAACTGGTGATTGGAAGGGTCTGAGGATTACAGTGAAACTGACTATTCAGAACAGACAGGCCCAGGTATTTACTTCTTGTGCTTGGTTTGAAGGAGGGTAGAGGTAACAACCCCCTGGAATCCTGGATAGGAGGGTTTCACCATTGGTGAACTAAACAATTTTGGTCCTTGTGGGAAGACTTTGTTAAAAGCATGGACAATAAGGCAAAGAAAGACTTTGGGCCCAGATTCAACCCATGTGACACTGGGTAAATCACATAACATTTCCCACACAGGAATGTGTTTTAATACATATGAATCATACATACATGTATAACTTATACGTACAGGAACCTAGTGTCTGGCCCATGGTCTCTTGAGGGCAGTGTTGGTTGTCATACAGTGGTAGTACTCTTTGGAGGTGGGGTTAGGGTTTGTTTACATCAAGAATCTCTTCTGCAGATTGAAGTGGTACCTTCTGCCTCTGCCCTGATCATAAAAGCCCTCAAGGAGCCACCAAGAGACAGAAAGAAACAGAAAAACAGTAAGTTGGCTGTACATTAGTTTGCAGTTTTTTATGTTATATACCTAATGTTTTTTCTTTAATGAAACCAGGGTTGGTGTGGGGATTGATGATTTGGTCAGCATTGTGAGAGCCAGGCAGTACCAAAAAGTACTAGATTTGCTTTCCCCAGTGGGGAAGGTCCCTTGGGTTTAGGCATCTGAGAACATGTGGCTGGCTGATGCACTGGACACTTAACCAATGATTTTAGCTATGCTTTTAATCCCTTAACAGGAAGTCTGTCCATGGCAGATTGGTGAAGACTTGGTTTTGTCTTTAGCCACCCGCCACTGCACCTGACCAGTTTGTGGGCTGGTGCAGTCCAGTGGTGAGCTGACAGTAAACCCCAGCTAAGGAAACAGGGTTATTCTTCATGTGGATGACTCTGTGCCGAAAGCATGGGAACAGCCTGCAAATAGTGGAGGACATACAGTCCCTTTGGCCTCAGACTGTCACAAAGCTTTTTTTTTTTCTTCCTGCAGTTAAACACAGTGGAAATATCACTTTTGATGAAATTGTCAACATTGCCCGACAGATGCGTCACCGATCTTTAGCTAGAGAACTTTCTGGTAAGAGCAAGACAACGTGTTATCTCGTAAATTTGAATGTTTTCAGTGAGTGGTTAGCATTCTTGCCACTTTGAGGGCACTTAACTCATGTTCTGCCATCCTGCATTTAGGACACCTATACAACAAATATCACTTAATGATAGCTTTGCTCAATTTAAGGTTTTGTGTATTGAAGGAAGTCTGTTGAGCAAAGGTGAACACTGCATTCCTTTCCCTTAAATTTGGAATGCTTCACAAATCTGCATGTCATTTTTGTGAAAAGGCTGTGCTAATTAATCTCTGTTCAAATTTTAGTATATGGGCAGCCCAAATGAGTACTCATTAAGGTGTTATAGGTGTTGTACATAAGGGCTACTGAAGTTGATAAGTTTCAAGGTTGGGGTATGGTGTTTTCTGGGGATGAAAGAACTGCTTAGGTCCTGAGCTGAGCATTTAGAGATCCAGTAGAGACTCTATTTAAGGTTTATGAAGTTCCAAGTCTTGTACTATAGAAATGGGTTGGGGTTTTCCTGTTTTTTGCTGTAGTGGGGATTGAACACAGGACCTCGTGCGTTCTAGGCAAGAGCTCTACTACTGAGTTATACACATAACCAAACACATTTTTCCTAATTGTAGGAACCATTAAGGAGATTCTGGGGACTGCCCAGTCTGTGGGTTGTAATGTTGATGGCCGCCACCCTCATGACATCATAGATGACATCAATAGTGGTGCAGTGGAGTGTCCAGCTGTAAGTGATTTCTGCATCCATTTCACTTGGGTTATAATAGAGGGGTGAAAGCTGGAGGGGGAGCGGCTAATGTGTTCATAAAGGTATTAGTGTAGGGCTAAGGGGAGGGTCTTTTAACTCCCCTTTCACTGATAGAGCTTCTATTTTCTTTCCCACAGAGTTAAGAAGTACATGGGAAAATTTCTTTTCCACAGTTAAGTACATGGGAGAATATTTTAATAAAGGATCATCTGACAACCAGTGGGCTGCATCCTTGAATGAGCGCCTATCATCCCCTTAACCTAACACTTGACACTGGGACAAACTGCAGCTAGGCAGCTTTTTCTAGGCACCAACAAATGAGGTTTGGAAATAATTGCTCCGAGGACTTGATTTTTCTCTATGGGTCATTTCACCCTATCTTGGATAGCTGCCTCCAGTGGAAAGGTGGATTCTGGGCCTGTCTTTCAGCATTAGGAAGTAATTCTCCCTGTTTGGTACTGGATGATTGATAATGGAATCCCTTTCCTCATCCACATTTGCTACCCTAAACTGGATAGGACTTGGTATCTGGCCAATACTTCTTGGTTCTTTTGCAGCCATTCTATTTCCAGAAGAAATGAGCATTGCCAAAAATACTTTGATAGAAGAAAACAAGTTTTTCGTTGATTTGTTCATTTTGCCTGAAAGAATTTGGACTATTGGGTGTTTTGTTTTGGGTACTGGGGAATGAACAAGTGTACTCAACCAGTGAGCCACATACTAAGCCCTATTTATATTTTGATATAGGGTCTGGCCGAGTTGTTGAGTGCCTCACTGTTGCTGAGGTTAGCTTTAACCACAGGATCCTCCTGCCTCAGCCTCCTGGGCAACTGGGATTATAGGCGAGTGCCCCCAGGCTGTGAGTGCTTTAGATTCTTGATGCTTACTAAAGACTGAAATTGTTAGCAAGCTCTTGAGCTTAAGCTTTTACTTACAACACGTAAGAATTGGATATTCAGGGTGTTTCTGTGTCTCTTCTCTGGGCTACAGATTAAAGTGCGAGATGTCTCCAGATGCTTAAATTGACAGTATTTATCTGAGCTCACCTATGCACCTGACTTGGATGCTGAGTTGAGTTGGAGCATCTGGGGTTCCCTTGATCATTGCTCCCAGTTACTCTGCAACATGGAGTCTCTGGTGTCTGACAAAAGCTGAGCTACACCTGAAGGCCTTCCTGCACACACTGCATTCATAGGGCTTTACACCACTGTGAATTCTCTGATGTTGACTAAGGGATGAACTCTGGTTAAATGCTTTTCCACACTTACTGCACTCATATGGTTTTTCTCCGGTGTGAATTATGTGATGTCGAATAAGGGCTGAGCTCTCACTGAAGAGTTTCCCACACTGATTGCATTTATATGGTTTCTCTCCAGTGTGGGTCTTCTGGTGGATTATAAGATTTGTACTTTGGCTAAAGGCCTTTCCACACTCACTGCACTTGTAGGGTTTCTCTCCAGTGTGAATCCTCTGGTGGTTGGTGAGGTTTGCACTCTGGCTGAAGGACTTCCCACATGCAGCACACTTGTAAGGCTTCTCTCCTGTGTGGATCCTCTGGTGCTGAATAAAAGCTGCACAGTAGCTGAAGGCCTTTCCACACTCGCTGCACTCATAGGGCCTCTCCCCAGTGTGAGTCCTCTGGTGATTGGTGAGGTTTGCACTGTGGCGGAAGGCCTTTCCACAGTCACTGCATTCATAGGGTTTCTCTCCAGTGTGGATTCGCTGATGCTGAACAAGGGCTGAACAGTCGCTGAAGGCTTTCTCACACTGACTACACTTGTAGGGCTTTTCTCCGGTGTGAGTGCGCTGGTGTTTGGTGAGGTTTGCATTCTGGCTGAAAGCTCGCCCACATTCAGTGCATTTGTAGGGTCTCTCTCCAGTGTGAATCCTCTGGTGCTGAATAAGCGAGGAGCTCTGGCTGAAGGCCTTCCCACACTCAGTGCACTCATAGGGCTTCTCCCCAGTGTGGCTCTTCTGATGCTGAGAAAGGGAAGAACAGTAGCTGAAGGCTTTGCCACACTCATGACATGTGAATGGCTTTACTCTCTGAGGCTGAATTTTTTCTGAATTCTGAAAGCTCTTAGAACAGGTTTCAGGTTCACAAGGCCTCACTCCTGCAGGAACTCTGTGTTGTAGAGACAGGACTGGTCTTAGACTGAAGCTCTTCCTCTGCTCACACATGCCTTGGCATGACTCTTCAGAAAGGGCTTGCCCTGGCAGTTCAGGGACAGTTTCCCAGTCTGAAATTAGAAAAGCAGGTATCCTGTATTCTCTTAGTGGAACAAATCCAATAGGCTGAAGGAGTCTGGCCAGGCTATTGCATAAATAGTTCCTCAGACCCTTCTTTTTGCCCAGTATATTTGCTCTAACTTGTTAAGATAACAGGTTGGCCGTTAGCTGCCACAGCACCCTTTACCTCTTCCTAAACTGCCAAGGGGCAAAAGTGGACCCCCACTCCTGCCCCACATGTGTGTATCTCCCATTTCTGAGGCTCCTCTTGCTGTCTCATGCGATCTCTGGTTCTCAAAATTCTTTTTTTAAAAATATTTTTATTAGTTTTGTTAGACTTTTTTATTTTTATGTGGTGCTGAGGATTGAACCCAGTGCCTCACACATGCTAGGCAAGTGCTCTAACACTGAGCCACAACAGCAGCCCTGGTTTTCAAAATTCTCAAGTTGGTTTTGGACAACCTGCTTACCAAATTTACTTTAAAAAACTGATGACCAATGTTGAGTAAGATGATTTTTTTTTCTTACCTTACTAAGTCAGCTGGATTTCCAAAGATGGTTAATGCTAGAAGGTTGGTAAAGGTGCAGCACAACGGGCTGTCTCATGTACCACAGTGGCTGAAGGTGCACCTCAAGATGCACCATGCCAGGCCAACAAAGATGACTCCTGTTCCCCACCAACAAGGAGGTGTACCCTTCCAGAGAGTTAACCTATCTTAATGCTCATCTGTGAAATGGGCATAACACCTTGCAGGGTTGACATTAATGTATGTTTCTGAGGTCCTCTGGCTCTAAGACTTAACTGGTTGGTGTCTGCTCACTTACCTGGACAAGTGCTTCTTGGGTCTTCTCCCTTCAGCACTCCCACGGGCTTTCCCTTTGTTCTAACTGGGAGTTCATGCCAGGTTGGAAAACTGGAAGTCCTAGTCAAGGGAGGAAAACCCAAACACGAAGATTTGTACTAAGTATAGTCACCCAGAATTCCCGGGAGAAGACACAGGCTACTTAGGTGGTTCATTTCATCACACCAATATATACGTTGAGCATTGGCTCCACAGTACAGGAACGAGGAGATACATCAGTAAGATGTGGTGCCTGGGTCTTAGTAAAGCATTTCCATCAGGAATTAAAGAAAACGATGGAAGGTGGCATGGAGCTAGGGAGCTAAACCCATCAAACACTCTATCTGGAAGATGGGCACAGACTGAACACAGATCGGCTGGGCCTACAGGCCTCTATACACTGAGAAGAAAAGTGCCACAACTTTCCAGAACAGTGCATACCTGTAATCCCAGTGGCTCAGGAGGCTGAGGCAGGAGGATTGTAAGTTCAAGACTCTTGTCTCTAAATAAAATATTTTAAAAGGCTGGGGGGGGGGGCGCGGCTGGGGTTGTAGCTCAGTGGTAGAACTCTTGCTTAGCATGTGTGAGGCTTTGGGTTTAATCCTTAGTACCACATACAACTAAACAAAAGTATTGTGTCCATGTACAACAGAGCAACAAGGCTGGGCATGCAGCTCAGTGGTTAAGTGCCCCCTGGGTTCAATCCCTGGTACTATTAAAAAAAATTGAGCTGATTCTCTCAAAAGAAGTGGTTTCTTTGGCCAGCAGGACCAGGTTTCTGGACTTTGCTGGTTTCCCTTTCCCCCTTGAACCTTTCCCCAGCAGGGAATGTGTGTCTCCATCCCTCCTGGTAAAACACTACTAGAGCTGTGGATCCTGAAACAAAAAGCAAATTCCTTCTTACTGGTGGCCTTTGGATCTTGAGTGGAGGCAAAAGACAGTAAGGGGGGTGGGCACGGAGGCTGGAAAAGAGTCTGAAAGTGTACCTATCATCTGCCTAACACTGTAATGGCTTCTGGCACACAAAACAAAAACCCTACTGTCTCCATACAAATTATCATCTTGATAGATTTTTTTATATATGAAAAGTTAACAAGTGTATTAGAAGAAATTACACACAAAAATATAGGTGCCAGGAAGAGACAATACAGAAAAAAATGAAAGTAAAATGTGCATTCATAATAGTGAATAATCAGGTGTAAATTATCAAGGAAATATGAGAGCTGAATTCTCAGAACTTTGAACAAACATTCCTGTGAATTCAGATATTACCCAGCACAGTAGGAGAGCCAGGCTTCTATGTGGTCAAAAGAATAAAAGGGGAACTGGTTGCAAGAAGAGGAGATGAAAGACAATCAAGGAGATCTATAGAAGGCCACATCAAGCTGGGGTAAGAGAAGGCTAGTCAGGGCAGGGGGAGCACCAGGAGCAAAGGCCCCGTGCTGAGAAGGTTCTTGTGTGTTGAGAAGCAACAGGTGGTGGTGGTGGTGGTGGGGCTTAATTAAAAGTTTGAAATGACCTGACAGACATGGCAGTTTTATCCTATAGTCAATAGGGAGCCAGTAGAAGTCAAGATGCACCTTAAGATGGAAATGAGAGGTTAGGAACTACAGCTGTCAACATCAAGTTGAGAGAGGGTTCTGCTCAAATAGAGGGACTAGATGCGTGGCAAGGAAATGGTGTGGGAGAAGATCCAGGAGAAGTCAAAGATATTGGGAAACTAGAAAGAGAAGAAACACGGACCAAAGTAGCTTGTGAGCAAATTAACTAGTTTGTTCAGGGCCCACAGGATTTAAGGTGGCCGCAAGATGTCTAGGTGCAGGTGTTTTGTCCCATAGGAAAACAGGCAGCAACTATCCTGGCCAGGTTGCACAGGAATCTCACACCTTTAACTACTTTTCCTTGTCTATTCTCAGTTTGGGGATGGGACCTTCTTTCATTGCCTGGTCATGCCAGAAACCTGGCCATCCTTCCGTCTCACTGTCACTGCCTTGTAAGCCAGCATCATTTTCCAGATTATCGCTAGTCTCCTGACCTCCAGTTTTACCTGCCTTTCCAATCCATCCTACGCAGAAATGAGTTAAATGGAATGAACAGAGTCATTTTTAAAAACTATGACATATTTAGACTATTAGGGCCACTTTAATAATCAAGAAAGTAAAATCTAGGGGCTGGGTTGTGGCTCAGCAGTACAGCACTCGCCTAGCATGTGTGAGGCCCCGGGTTCGATCCTCAACACCACATAAAAATAAATAAAAGTATTAAAAAAGTAAAGAGTAAAACCTATTATAAATATATAAATGCCAGGAGCCACATAGTACATACTATACAAGAAGAAAAATTATACAAAGTACAAGAAGAAATTTAAAATATATAACAGCTTTAAGATATTAAAATGTCTTAGTTAATCCAAAATGAAGAATGTACAACAAAATCAGAGCTGAGCAGTTTAATAAGGCTGAGCAGACAGAGCTATCACACCCCATACCCTGCAATCAGACTACAGTGGCATTTTGTGTTGAACAAGTCATGGTATCCATCCTCATGAAGCAGACCAGCTGTGAATGGGCAAATATCAAAGTAATAGTTTTGGAATACTAAAAAAAAAAAAAAAATGAAACCCACAGTCTAAAACTTTTTTTTTCCTTTCCTTTTCTGGTTCTGGGAAATGAACCCCAGGACACTCTACCACTGAGTTACATCATTAGCCCTTTTTATTATTTTGGGATGATTTTGTTAGCATTGCTGAGGCTGGCCTTGACCTTAAAATCTTCCTGCCTTGGCCTCCTGACCTGAGTCAGCTGGAATTATAGATGTGCATCACCATGCCCAGCTTTTAGCCCAAAATTTTCTATGTAAATGAGTAAGGAAGAAAATGGAGTAAGGTTTCAATTCAAGAAATTAAAGTGAATTGTAAAATCTGAAGAAAGCAGAAGAAATTAAATATTCATATATATTTAAACTAGGGATTGAACCCACCCAATTTGGGAAAATATAGAAAAAGGAAGAATGAGAGGCAGGCCACAAATCAAATTGTTACTGCTGTTTCTGTGTAGAAGTAAAGATATTTTTTAGTTTTTTTGTGTTTTCTGTATTATCCAAATTTTCTTCAGAGAATTACTTTTGTAATTAGAGGATGAAAAATAAAACCAAAAAACCCAAGCCAATTTCACCAAGAATGTTAAGGAAAAAAGGGCTGCCTCTCAATTCCCAACTTACCTGGGGCCCAGCTGCGAAGAGACCAACAGCCATTCTGTTCTCTCCTGCTCTTTCCTCTGAGGGAAGTGCAGCATTTGGAAAAGGTGGTGCTAGAGGAAGAGAATGAAATCAAGGAGACAAAGTTTGCATATTATGAAGTTACCAATTCTCCTATAAAGAGGGGATTTGAAAGCCAGAGCTGGTACCAGGGTGCCTGAGATGAATCTGTAGATCTGCAGTGGGACGGGAATTTTCCTGTTCCTACCTAACTCCATCAATGCCAACAGGTGTTGGGAGGTATTAGACTGTAATAGATTCTTAACTAAGATTCACCACTCACCAGCAGAGTGCAAATCACTTAAGATATAAGTCTCATTTCTCTCATCTGTAAAATGGAGATGATATTATAAAGTTTTTGAGAATTAAATACACAGTTAAGCAGCTGGCATGATGCCTACCAGCTAAGTATGCAGTTTATAAATATTACCTTTTGCTTAAAAGAAGAGGTAATGAATGACTAATGGGGTCTGTTCCTGGAATGTAAGGTTAATTCAACATACAAAAAACAATCCACACACCATATAGATAGAGCAAAGAAAAAAAACCTAACATGGATCATCTCATTGGACACAGAAAAAGCCACTTTAAAAAATCAAATAGTAGGGCTGGGGCTGTAGCTCAGTAGTAGAGTGCCTGACTAGCATGCACTAATCCCTGAGTTTGATCCCTAACATTTCAAAATCATCATCATCCTTATCCTTTCATGATTAAAAAAAACACTTAACAGAAGGTTGGGGTTTGTGGCTCGCTTAGCATGCATGAGGCAGTGGGTTCGATCCTCAGCACCATATAAATGTAGAATAAAGATATTGTGTTCACCAAAAAACTTAAATAGAAGAGAACTTCCTTAATTTGATGATGAAATGTACCATTAACCTCATACTTAATGGTGAGAGATGGAAACTTTCCCCCCCTTAAGATAAGAAATAAAACAAAGGAGCTGGGGATATAGCTCAGTTGGAAGAGTGCTTGCCTCACATGCACAAGGCCCAGGGTTCAATCCCTAGCACTGAAAATAATAAATAAGATGTCTGCTCTCACCATTTTTGTTCAACGTAGGTTCTAGCCAAGGCACTTAAGCAAGAAAAGGAAAGATGTCAGGATTGGAAGGAAGAAGTAAAAAAATCTCTATTTGCAGATGACATGATTTTGTATACAGAAAATCTTGACACATGAATAATTATAGCTATTAAACAAATTTAGCGAGATTGCAAGCAGCATGATAAATACACAAAATCAGTTACATGTCTACAAATTAGCAATGAAACCAAAACAATTTCATTTATAATATCATCAAAAAAATAAAGTACCTGGGAATGAATTTAACAAATGAAGTACAAGATTTATGCACTGAAAACTAAAACATGTTGAAATTATAGAAGACCTAAATAAATGGAAAAAATCCTATATTCATGTATTGGAAAACAGTATATTGTTGAGATGGCAATAATCCCCGAATTATCAACAGAGTCAATGCAATTACTATCAAAATTCCAGCTGGCACTTTTAACAGAAATTAACAAGCTGACCTTAGAATGCACATGGAAATGCAAAGGACAAAGAGGAGTGGGGGGATGAAGTTAGAGGATTCATACTTCTCAACTTGCTTCAAACAACAGTTATCAAAACTGTGTAGTGGCATAGGGCTGACTGATATTCAGATCACTGGAATAGACTTGAAAGTCCAGAAATAAAATCATGTTTATGGGCAACTACTTTTTGACAAGGATAACAAGAAATTAAATAGAGAAAGAATAGTCATTTTTAAAGAAAACCCTTAGTGGGCATGGCGAAGCACACCTGTAATCCAGCTACTCAGGAGGTTGAGGCTGGAGGATGCAAAAGAACGAATTTGGAGTCTTATCTCACATCGTATACAAAAGTAACTCAAAATATATCAAAGACCTAAGGAGCTAAAACTCCTAGAAGAAAACAAGAATTAAATCTTTCTGACCTCAGAAAAGGCAATGATTTCTTAGATATGACATCAAAACCCCAAGAAACCACCTGGGTACGTCTCATTTTCCTTCCCAGGAACCCACTTTTCCCTGGCATTGGTTATAGGTAGACACTCAAGCGATCATCCAGGACAGTGATCCTCGAACCTATTTGACTAAGAAAAGGACAAGTTTCCAACCGCTAGTGGAAAAGACAACCAGGGTCTGGTCCGGGCCACAAAGCAGCATTAGTGGGCAAACTGGAACAGGAGGCTGGATCTGCAAATCGTCCCTCCACCACTCCCCCTCACCTCCTTCCTCCAGCATACTGGTCCCTCCTCGCGCCACCGGCTGCCAGCAATTCCCTGGTGTCAGCGTCACTGCAAGTGAGAAAACGACAAGCAACCTACAACCGGCTACCCGTCCGAGCTCAGGAACCCTGGACACCAGCGCTGCAGACGCTAGAGCTCCTTGGCGACAAGCCTGACCAGCAGCACTTCCGGTCATGCGATATGCTCCCCACCCCGCCACTGGACTCCATTTCCCAGAAGTCTCCGCCAGGCGCTATTCCTGGCCAAACCTTTCCTCTCCCCAGACGCCAAATATGTGACCCGCACTGCCTCCTTCCCAGACCGTCTTCCGCCTGTCCTTGCTCCCAGAATCCACCACCCAGAATGCTTTTATGTTGCACATCCCTCAGGTGCACGGGCATCCAGTTCAAGGGGACTCTGGGACAGGAAGCGGGTTGGCTGTCGAGGATTCTGGGAACGGCGGTGTGGCGCAGACGCAGGGCGACGTGCCCTTGGTGGTGGTGGTGCGTCGGCTCTGGGCCCATCTCCAGCCTCCTTCATGGCCGTCTTAAGCCGAACTTAAAGTCTGAGAAGGATCAAGGAAAGGGCCCTTCAGTCTGAACAGGGCAACCCTCCACGGGGCGGTGTCCTGGAACCCCCCAAGTATAGGAATCTGTCCGCGAGCGGGAACGTCTTGTCATTTCAGGCACATTCGCTAGTGTTTGGTCGGCCCTGTTTCAGGAGATTCCCGAATAGTCTGCCCCGTCAGGACTTTCCCAGCGCCCGGATGGAGTGTCCTCCTAAGCCCGTTGGGGATTTGTCAAACGATTTTTCCGATGACCAACTCCATCTTAATCCTGTTGCCTTTAAGAAGAAGGGAATGAATTACTGGAAAGCAGAAGCAAGTGTGGACGTCCTGAGGCCTCTTTTTCAAAGTCAGCAACCTCTGGTTCTCTCTTTTGTCACCTGCTTCCGCTTTAAAGGACCATCCTAGTTATACTGTGTCCACCCGAATAATTTTTTTTCCCCCTGAGGCTGGGGATTAAATCTTTGTGCATGCTCTGACCCTAGCTGAGGAGAATTTTAAGATCATCTGGTTGGCGACCTTAATTTCATCTGCAACCTCAAATTCCTTTTTGCAACATAACCGATTTGTAGGTTCAGGGTCTAGGACAAGGACATCTTTGGGATTGTCGTTATTTTGCTGTATCCAAAGTCCCACCAATGGCTGGGATCCTCATGTTTTCTCAATAGTCTGCTATTTGTGGAGCCATCTCAGCTGTGTATCAGCCCAGCCAATCCAGGAGAAGCCATGAAGGACAGTGGAAAAAAGAGGGTCAAATTGGGCAGAAACAACACACAGCCTGCCATGTCATGCCTCTCTACCTGGCGTTCCCTTTCCTGGGCACCTCTGTTGCCTTCTGGTCTGTACTGGCCTGCTCCTCTACGGTTGAGGCATGGCTCAAAACCTTTCCTTTGAAGCCTCTGCAGATTCTCTAGGCATAGAACCATCATCTGTGTAAACCAACACCTTTCCTGTGTCATTGCTCAGCAACTGACCTTCCCTAGGCCCATTTCTCCCAAAGTTGCTCCCTAAAGACCAATAAGGGTCTTGGTCATTTCATCTGGTGTCAGGGGAGGCATCTCCATCTCCCAGTGAAAGCCTTTTAATAGTGGGCCTTTGATATACTGATAGAATCCTAATGCCCATATATGGACAGCATGTATGCACGCTTGAGGCAGTGTGATAGCTGCAGCAGAGGATGTCAGACCAGACCCTACTGAGTTCCTCCCTTAGCTGAGGAAGACTCAGGTGTAGGATGACCTAAGCCCTTCTCAAGCATCCTTCAGGGTGAGATGGTTTCCCTTCCCCGAGGCCTTTTGTGGGTGTCTGAGGAGCATGTTTGGAAACAGTCTGAGAGCCATAATCTGTGCCCCGGCCTGCCTCACCCTCTTCTTGCTTTGTTCAGAAGGCAGGATGAGCTTTGGAGCTGTAGCCTCTGCCCTGGTAGGAACTGGAGGCTGTGTCTTTGTTCAGGCCACAGTGGAGACAGCATCAAACCTCATCCAGTGGCCACAAGATACAATAGGTGCTAATTCCATAATGGTTGCTAGTCTGCAGATTTCCTGCCATTGTCTTGCAATCCTACCCATGGCCACTGAAAGGTGGAGAGAGTTTCATGCTCTAGATGGTGCAATTCCTCCCATGGTCACTGAGGGGTGGTGCGCACTCCAACCCTCCATTTTGGTAGAAGCCAGGATTTACCTGGGAGTTATTCTGGGGGTGGGAGTGGAGAGGCAGTAATGGGTAATGGGCATTGGTAGACAGTGCATATTTCTACCCTGGGCTGGGTAAATCACAGCTTCTGCTATACTTGGCCCCAGGATGTCCATCAGTCCTCTCCTCTGTGATCCTGTTTCTGATGGTGCTGGCCTGGGCTCCTAAGGGAACCATACAGGACTGACTGCTGGGTCTGGCTCTTGGTCTCCTAACTCATATTCTGATGGGAAGGTTACAAAAGAGCATGTGGGCCCACAAGTCATTGGCACCTATAATTGGATGCTGGTGGTGTGGGTAGGAGTTGCCGAGAAGGCAGGGTAGGAAATAGAATATGAGAAAAAAGTGCGTAAAGATTTCAAATGTCCCTTTATGAGGCACTCTGGGGATCTCACATTGGCCTTACATGCAGCTCTTCCTTCCCCACAGCCTTCCATTCTCACCTTACCTCCTCACCAGTAACAACAGCTAGCATGGATTGGGCACTTATTCTCTGCCATCCTCATTTCCAAGTGCTTTACTTAGTTATCTCCTTTCATTCTCATAAGAACCCCATGAGGGATGTAGCATCAATAGGCCCATCTTAGATGAATTAACTGATGCTTACAGAGGTTAAGTGACTTGTCCATGTCACACAGGCTGTAAATAGTACAACCAGAATTTGAACAAGCACACTGACTCTTACCCTCCAGCCCTTCCTCTGCTGCCCTGGTCTGGCCCTAGGATTACAGAGGGAAGAGGCCAAGGTGGGGTTTTGATCCACAATGCAATATTTCTTGCCTACATATTTAACCATCTCTTTGATAGTCTGGGGGACTGAGCCTCTGCCTTCCCCCTGGTCTGTTGACAGCCCCAGTTTGCTGAAACTGGAGAATCCAATCGGATAAGTTATCTAGGACAAAGAAGGGAAGGTGACTGAATCTTGCAGGGTGGGTGACCTGAGCAGAAAGTCTAGTTCAGGAAGGAATGAGGTTAAACCACTTGCCTAAACCCTTTGTGGTCTGGTATATCAAGCAAAAGAGATGTCCTACTCATTAGACACCTCCTATGTGGCTGAGCCTGTCCTGCTCCCTGGCCTTTAGTGCAACTCACTGAGAACTGATTTGTAGAGCAGACCCCTCTGAGACACAGGCAATGTAGTCCAACATGAAAGAACAATAGCTGGGCTGGGGATGTGGCTCAAGCGGTTTCGCGCTCTCCTGGCATGCGTGCGGCCCAGGTTCGATCCTCAGCACCACATACAAACAAAGATGTTGTGTCTGCCAAAAATAAATATTAAAAAAATTCTCCTTTCTCTCTCTCTCAAAAATAAAAAAAATAATAATAAAAAAAGAAAGAACAATAGCTTTGGTGGTGTGTACCCCAGGACCAGCAGTTACACCTCTAAAGTTTTATCTTATGAAAATTTCTGTTCAATTAGGCAAGGTCTGTTCTAGTTCTACCATTTCTGTCTCCAACTCTCATCATCTCCCTTATCTCCACCATCACTATCACCTCCACTTTTGTCTCTGCCACCTGTCACTATCTCCTCTCCATCATCTCATCTCTCATTTATCAACCTTTCATCTCTCGTCTCTCCATTTCACCTATCATTGCTCTTTTTTTTCCTCTCAACTCTCTCTCATTTTTCTTCTATTTTCTCTCATCTGTCTATATCTAGAAGAATTATCAATAGCAGATAATTGGAAACAACCTGAATGTGGAACAATATAGAGTTGATTTAAATTCTGCATTTAATATGGGTTTGACTTAAGTTCTGATATATTTATAAAAATGAAATAATCTACATTCAAAAGATATTTTAGCACCTGTCTTTGCAGGGTGCCATGATGCCAATGGTAAACAAATCAGTCGACTGAACTTCTATATTCTTACCTCCTGTTTTTTCCCCTGCGGAATCCCTCTAAAATGACACTGTCAATGTATAAAAGGGAGCAAATAAATATCAGAGCTCAAAATGGGTAGGGAGGAGGGTACTTAATACAGCTACTGCAGTTAAGTTCCTAGCTCTTCATTTCTAAATATGAGCAATTTAAGCTCACCAGATATTTGAGATAAACCAGCAGCATTAAAGAGACAGACCAAGATGAACCACCACCTCATTGATCTCAGAAGAAATCAGAGACTAGCAGATGACTTTCAAGAGTTAAGATATGCAAGTAGTTTAATTCATAATAGCAAATGCCAAGTGTTGACAAGTATGTGGAACAACTGGAACTTTCATGCACTGCTGGAGGGAATGTAAAGTGGTACAACCACTTTGGGAAAGCCTGGCAGCTTCTAAAATAGCTAAACACAAACTTAAGGCCCAGCAACTCCACTCCACACAAAGATTTGTATGCAAATGTTTATAGCAGTGGAAGTTCAAGGTGAGCCTCAGCAACTTAGTGAGGCCTGACTCAAAATATAACAATAAAAAGGCTGGGGATGTGGCTCAGTGGTAAAGTGCCTTTGAGTTCAATCTCTAGTATCAAAAAAAATAAAAATAAAAAAAATCCCTGTATCTTGAGTTTGGTGGCAGTTATAGAACTTATAACATCATAAATCATCAAATTATATAATTGTTGAACTTTTTGGGGGGTGGGGCACCAGGGATTGAACTCAGGAACATTCCTTCACTGAGCCACATCCCCAGCCCTATTTTGTATTTTATTTAGAGACAGGGTCTCACTGAGTTGCTTAGCGCCTCACATTGCTGAGGCTGGCTTTGAACTCATGACCTTCCAGTCTCAGCCTCCCGAGCTGCAGGGATTACAGGCGTGCACTATCCCATCTGGCCTAATTGTTGAATTTTATATAAATAACGTCTCCATCTGATTTTCAAACGTGAAAAGATGTTTCCTCAGAAAAGGAATTCTATTAAAAAGAAAAACATAGGATGCTGTGAAAAAAAGGCATATAGAATAAGATAGAATTTAAAATGATCACCAAGGGGCTGAGGTGTGGCTCAGCAGTAGAGCACTCGCCTAGCACCTGTGCGGCACTGGGTTGGATCTTCAGCACCACAAAAAAATTGAAACAAATAAAAATAAAGGTATTTAAAAAAAATGATCGCCAAGAGTTGGGGTTGTAGTTCAGAGGTAGAGCGCTTGCTTAGCATGTGTGAGACACTGGGTTCGATTCTCAGTACCGCATATAAATAAATAAAAGTTCCATTGACAAAAAAAATTTTTAAAAATGATCGCCAAAATGGAATGACTATTTTAAAATCAGACAAAACCTCAGAACAAGGAATATCACCACAAAGAGGGCCATTTCCTAAGGATAAAGGACAAAACAGGAGAATATAACAATTCCCAATGTGCAGGCACCTAAAACTAGAGTTCCAAATACATAATGCAAACCCAAGAACTGCAAGGCAACTAGATTAATCCACTTTTAGGGAGGAGGTTTCAAAACCCCATTCTCAAAAAATGGGTATACCAAGTAGACAGGAAGTCAGGAGAGTTGATGGTTAATTTTATGTGTCAACTTGACTGGGCCACAGGGTGTCCATATTTGTGGATGAAGTTAATATTTGAACTATAGACTGAGGCAGACTGCCTTCCTCAATATAGGTGGACCTCGTCTAATCAGTTGAAGGCCTGAATAGAACCAAAAAGTTGACCCCTCCAGAAGGAAGGGGAAGTTCTCCTGTCTGCCCTGAGTTGATACACTAGTCTTTTTCTGCCTTCAGACTTTAACTGAAATGTTGGTTCTTCCCAAGTTTACAAGTCTTTGGAATAGAACCATACCATCTGTTCTTTTAGGTCTCCAGCACACCAACTCACCCTGCAGGTCCTGGGACTTCTTGCTTCCATAATTATAACAAATCTCTTTGTATGCCTTTGTCTCTCTGTGTACACACACATATACACTACTGATTTTGTTTCTCTGAAGAACCCTAATACAGATGACCTGAACCACCTACTAAATAAATTGACCTCCACCCCAAAACAACAGCATACACATTCAAGGGAAAATGGATCCTAAGATAGAACCTGTTCTAGGTCAGAATACAAGTTTCTATCAATTGAAAAAGATCAAAATTATTTTAAAACAAAATTGGTAAATCAAAGTATTCTATAGAAGATCTGGAAGGTAAAAAAAAAAAACAATCTAGAACACAAAGCAAAGACAATGAAATAGCATATAAGTGAAAATATTAACAGTGGAAAGGTACCACACCAGGAAGTACAATATCTACCAGAAGTGCCTGAAAAAGAAAACAGAAAAAGCAAGGTGGGGGGGTTTGGAAATAAAGAAATAAAAGACATTTCTAGAAGAAAGTAGTCAGACTCAACATCTTACAGAATAAATGAGCAAAAACCTACAATTATACTCATTCCTAAGAAAATTTAAATCGTCAGAAGATTTTGAAAGTTTTTAGAGAAAAATCACATACCTGCAAAAGAACTGGGGCTGTGGCTCAACAGTACAGCACTTGCCTAGCATGCACCAGGTCCTGGGTTGCATCCCCAGCACAACCAACAAAACTACCATATGAAGGTGATGGTAAAAGAAAGCCTTTTTAGGCAGAAGCTATCTTGGCACCTGTCATGAAAAAAAAAAAAAAAAAAAAGACTAGAACCAGAGCATGATAGCCTCATGAAGGTGTACACTCAAGTGAATTAAAATGGTATCCAAAGAGCAAAGCAGGTAATTCAAGAAACTGGGGAGTTAATCCAGGAGTTCAATGAAATGAAAACCTAGGATAACAACTTTGCAGAAGGTCAGAATTGATTCCTTTAGCAGAGAGCATATTACAAAAGGGAAAGACAATGAAGACGATAAAGATGACATGTTTCTTAAGGGGATAAAAAAAACTTCAGGAAAAAATATCTAATAATGTTTTTAAAATGGCAAAACCAAATATGGCATTAATTTGAATAATCAACATGGTATAAAAGCAAATCCATTTTATCTTGATTCTTAGAAAATGTTCTTTTCTGGCCCTGGTGTGATTCCATCCTGCGTGTCTCTTCTCTAAAGCAGCAACCTATTTTCTGTCCGCCTTCTCTCCCAGCTAAGTGTGTACTACCACCCCATGGAAGATTCGATGGATATGGACATGAGCCCCCTGGGGCCCTGAACTATCTTTTCAGTTGTGAGCTAAAGGCTGACAAAGATTATCACTTTAAGGTGGATAATGATGAAAATGAGCACCAGTTATCGTTAAGAACAGTCAGTTTAGGTGCTGGTGCAAAGGACGAATTGCACGTTGTTGAAGCAGAGGCAATGAATTATGAAGGCAGTCCAAATAAAGTAACATTGACAACATTGAAAATGTAAGGCCAACCGTTTCCCTTGGGGGCTTTGAAATCACACCACCTGTGGTCTTAAGGTTGAAGTGCAGTTCAGGGCCTGTGCATATTAGTAGGCAGCACTTAGTAGCTATGGAGGAAGATGCAGAGTCAGAAGATGAAGAGGAGGAGGATGAGAAACTCCTGTATCTGGAAAGCGATCTGCCCCTGGAGGTGGTAGCAAGGTTCCCCAGAAAAAAGTAAAACTTGCTGCTGCTGAAGACATTGATGATGATGAAGATATGATTTTCATGAAGAGGAAACTGAAGAAAAAGCTCCAGTGAAGAAATCTATATGAGAGACTCCTGCCAAAAATCAAACCAGAATGGAAAAGACTCAAAACCATCAACACCAAGATCAAAAGGTCAAGAATCCTTCAAAAAAACAGGAAAAAACTCCTAAAACACCAAAAGGACCTAGTTCTATAGAAGACATTAAAGCAAAAATGCAGATATAGAAAAAAGGTGATTCTCTTCCCAAAATGGAAGCCAAGTTCATCAATTATGTGAAGAATTGCTTACAGATATCTGACCAGGAGCCTATTCAAGATCTCTGGCAGTAGAGGAAGTCTCTTCAATAGTTCAAACAGTTTGTTAAAAATTTCTGTCTGGGCTGGGGATGTGGCTCAAGCGGTAACACGCTCGCCTGGCATGTATGGGGTGCTGGGTTCGATCCTCAGCACCACATAAAAATAAAGATGTTGTGTCCACCGAAAACTGAAAAATAAATATTAAAAAATCCTCTCTCGCTTCTTTTAAAAAAAAATTCTTATTTCATTTCTGTAACAGTTGATATCTGGCTGTCCTATTTATAATGCAAAGTGAGAACTTTCCCTACCGTGTTTGTTAAATGTTGTCCAGGTCCTATTGCCAAGAATAGTTTTAGTTTTTAAAGGTGGAACTCCACCCTTTGCTTGGTTTCTAAGTATGTATGGAATGTTATGATAGGACATAGTAGTAGTGGTGGTCAGGCATGGAAATGATGGAGAGACAAAAATATACATGTGAAATAAACTCAGTATTTTAATAAAAAACAGGTTTATTGACATAGGATTATATCTTTTTTAGTCCCGTTGGTTTATAGGGAATATTATTTATATAACTATAATTCTATGAATACTTTATTGGTTCCTTCTTCCCCCATGCATGAGGGTTTATCTTTTATATATTACTAAATGTCACATACCAGTGGTTTTCATATCAGAGCAAGGGATCATTTTGGGCCCCAGATTATCCTAAAGGCAGCTTGTAGCATCTCAATTCTTAAAAAAAATAAAGTACCAAGGGGGTGCTTCTCAAATGTTAGCACATTCCTCTCTGTACATCCAATGTGCTCATTTCTCCTCTGAAGCTCCAGTTTCTACTTATATCTACATTCTACTTATATCTCATTAGCTCTTATTGCATGCCAGAATTTTCCTTGTATATAAAGACCAGGAAATGTAATGCAGTCAGCCCTCCACATCCAGTTTATGCATTTTTTTGATTCAACTGAGGAACAAACATTAAGAGAAAACATCGGTGTCTCTACTGAACACATGCAGACTTTTTTCCTTTGTCATTATTCCCTAAGCAATAACAACTGACATAGTATTTATATTGTATTTTCTATTATAAATAATGTAGAAATGACTTAAATTATACAGGAGGATGGGTGTAGATTATATGTAATTAATATGCCATTTATATAAAAAAAAACATGAGCATCCATGAATCTTGGTGTCTGTGGGGCAGGGTCCTGGAACTGATCCTCTGCGGATACCCAAATGACTGTAGTCAGCATGGCTAGGACTTATCTCATGCCTATCGGACAGGGTGTTCTCACCACCACCTGAAATACGTGGTTTGTTTTTTGGAAACAATCTACAGCCTAAGCATGAGGCAACTATAGTCATGTATTAAAAAAAAAAAAAAGAAAATATCATAACTATTGACAATTTAAAGTAAAAATAAACTGAAAAGAAGGAAAACGGGGATGAAGTGGTATGGAAATGCTGCTGTCCTCTTCTGCCCAGTGAGGAATCAAAATAAGGTAAGCTAGCTGGGCATGGTGGCACATGCCTGTAATCCCAGGGGTCAGGAGGCTGAGGCAGGAAGGAGGATCATGGGTTCAAAGCCAGCCTCAGCAACACAGTGAGGCCCTACACAATTCAGTGACACCCTGTCTGTAAATAAGATATAAAAAAAAGGTCTGGGAATGTGGCTCAGTGGTTAAATGCCCCTAGGTTCAATCCCTGGAACCCCCCCACAAAAAAAAAAAAACAGATAAGGCAAGCTGGTGGCTTTTGTATCATATTTAGGTCAAGCAGGTAACCCTGAGGAAAACTAAAATCAGAAACTCTTAACTGGGGTGGGGCAACTCATTTTTCATTAATTCTATTCTCTACCAATTTGATATTTTAAACATGTACATGTTACTTTTATATATATATTTGTATCAGAGATTGAACCCAGAGGCACTTTACCACTGAGCCACATCCTCAGGCCTTTTTTGTATTTTATTTAGAGACAGGGTCTCACTGACTTGCTCTTGCTTAGGGTCTTGCTGAATTGCTGAGGCTGGCTTTGAACTGGATATCCTCTTGCCTCAGCCTCCCAAGCCACTGGGATTACAGGTGTGCACCACTGCACCCGGCTTCCAGCCCTTTTTAAATTTTTTGAGACAGGGTCCTGCTAAATTGCTTAGGGCCTTACTAAGTTGCTGAGGCCATCTTTGAATTTGTGCTCCTCCTGTCTCAGCCTCCCAGGCTGCTGGGATTGCAGGTGTATAATGTTTTTAAAGTTTAACAAAGGAGCTGGGTGCGGTTGCAACTTGGGAGGTTGAGACGGGAGGATCATAAGTTCAAGGTCTGCCTCAGCAAGATAGTGAGGCCCTAAGCAACTTAGTGAGAATCTGTCAAAATAAAAAATAAAAAGGGCTGGGATGTAGTTTAGTGGTAAAGAACCTCTGGGTTCAATCCCCAAATCCCCAGTACCATTTTTAAAAAGTTTTAAAAATGTTAAATTTCTAAAAAAAAAAAAAAAAAAAAAAGACTGGAATTCACCCTGCATATAAGTCATGGTTTAATTTTCCGAGTCAAATTTTTTATTTATTTATTTTAGTTTAGTTTTCGGCGGACACAACATCTTTGTTTGTATGTGGTGCTGAGGATCGAACCCGGGCCGCACGCATGCCAGGCGAGCGTGCTACCGCTTGAGCCACATCCCTAGCCCCCGAGTCAAATTTTTATCTGGCAACTTTTACTTGGTGGTATATCTTGAGTTCAATCTCCAGTACTGAAAAAAATATTGATACCAGTATAGATTGAGTATCCCTTATCTGAAATGGTGAGGACCAAAAGACTTTGGATTCAAGTTTTTAGATTTTGTACTATTTAGCAGTTGCACATCCCTAGTCTGAAAATCCAAAGTACTCCAAAATCAGGAACTTTTTGCATTCTCGGGGATCCAACCCAGGGCATCATGCATGCTAGGCAAGCATTCTACTGTGGAGCTACACCCCCAGCCCTTTTTATTTCTACTTTGAGACAGGGTATAAGTTGCCCAGGCTTGCCTAGAACTTGAAATCCTCTTGCCTCTGTCTCCTGAGTAACTGGGATTATAAGTGTGTGCCATGATATCTGTGTCATGTTGGCGTCTCCAAAGTTTTGGATTTCAGATCTCAGTAGCTCTACCACTGAGCTACAGTCTCAGCCTGATATTGCTATTCTTGTTGTTCAAAATGCAAACATCATGGGCTAGTTCTCAACCTGTACTACTGTTACTGCCCTGAGATACAAAGAACAATCAATCTAGTTGTAGCCCAACTAACCACTGTAGGTATTGGGAATGCAAATGTAGACAGTAGGTGTTGGTGCAGAAGGTGTTCTTGCCCACATGTGTGACTCCTTCTGAAAGGCTCCAGGGGTTTTTGGATCTTGCCACAGCAGACAGAAATCCATGTTCTTATGCATCGCTTCACACACATCACTGAAAATAGAGCCATTGCCTTGGCATCTTCTGGAAACTGACCCTGGAGTCTTGCCCTTCCACCCTTCTGCCTGCACACATGACCTTCTATTCCCCTCGCAAAGGCTTCTGTCCTCTGGCTTATTACAGGACTTACTGGGAGATGCCCAGGCTTACACATGCTTGAGCCATGGCACCTGGAAGGCAGACAGAGAAGTGGTGCAATGAAAAGAATGGTTTAGTGACAACAGAGAGCATGAGTACCAGGAGAGAGTTTTCAAGAGGTGAACCAAAATCTTAACAGAGGTTATCTTTGGAAAGGGGCAACTGTGAATATTTTATTTATCTAAATAAATAAGTTAATATTTGTAAAATGCTTAGAACAGTACCTAGCAGATGGTTAACTACTATAAAATAATTTATATTAAGTAAATATGTTTCCTGCAATAAACATGCATTACTTAGACAATGAATAATACAAGTCACTTGTAACAAGATTTTTGGGTCCATTAAAGTCAAAGAGAATTTTTTTTTTTCAAATTCAACAGGATTTGATGGCTAATGACCAAAGACACTGTGCCCAAGAAAGAAGCCAGAAATCACCTCTTAAGTGACAAGGGTCTGGGTGGCTGACCCAAACAGGTGAATACACAGGATGTTCTGGGCAGGGCCGAGGGCCTGGTTTATGTAAGTAATGGCAGCCCTCATCAAACCGGGCTCATGCAGAGGTCATGACCTGATTTGTGTCAAATTTTTATTTGGCAGACAGTCCTTCCTGATAATGCAGCTCAGTGAGAAGAGCAAGCAGATGCTTGGACCCAACCTCCAAAAGCATCTTCCACGGAAAACAGGAGCTGAGAGGCCCCTCCTCTTCTCTTGCTGCTTTAGTACCATGGAGACGACTTGTGTATAAAGGGCTGACCACAGGCCTGAAGACCTCCTCAGATGTTCCTGAGCCCACAGAGCAGCAGCAGAAACTGGACCCAGAGGCTGGTGAACCTCCTAGCCTGGGGAGCTGGGCCATGAGAACTGGACGGGAAAGAGGGCCCTGGAAACCCAGGCTCCAGGGGCTCTGGTCCTGGGTGCCAGCTTCCCTGGGCCTGGGACAGTCAGGGGTTCCAGGCTCAGGCTGAGGTCCAGCTTAGAGTCACAGGCTGCTCCACTCCCTCTAAAGCCCAAAGCCAGCCCAGCTAGGAGGGGCCACCACTCACAGAAAGGGGCTGTCATCGCCCCTCAAAATGAGCTGTGATTTGTTCCAAAGTCTTTCCTTTGGTTTCAGGGACCCAGAACAAAGTGAAAAGGACACTGAAGATGCAGAAGGCAGAGGCAAGCCAGAAGGCTCCATATGGCCTGAGGACCTCCTGTAGAAAAAGGAAGGGCCACAGGTGCACATGGCCGTAAATTAGGATCTCACTCCCTCCCTGCAGTCTGGACACTATCCTGCCCCAAGGCCTACCTGCTGATGACCTGCCTATGTGTCTCCTGGACCCAGTGAGCTCTCTTTTCATGGTGCAGTGGGAATGAGAGAGCATGGCCCCAGGAACACTGGGGACATAGAGGGCGCATTGGCATGGAGGGAGGTATGGGCCCAAGAAAGAAGCCAGAAATCACCTCTTAAGTGACAAGGGTCTCTTTGGTCAGAGTCTGTGACCTTTCAGTGCCAGACCAGAGTCTCTTCCTTTCTCAGCTCCTTATCCTCTGGCACTTGGAAACCCCTCCTCCTCAAGACCCTTCTCTTGGTCTCTTAGACAGCAGACACATTTGAGTCATTATTATATCCTTTGTCACTTCCTTACTGGCTTCTCTCTCTCCCTCCTTTTCTGTCTATCCTCTTGAACATCCAGTGAGTAAGTCCCACCCCAGGCCTCTGCCCTGGCCTTCCTAATGTGCTTCCTAGGGCAGCCCTGCCTGAATGAGCCCAGGCTCAGTAAAGACTCCAGGCTACCTTGAGTGTCCACGGCTGTCACCGACTTGCCTCCCCACGCCCCAGTCTGGCTTTCCATCACCACCCATCACCTTCCTGGCCATGCCATAAAAAGGGACCTGTCCTTTTCAGCTATTGTTGTTTCTGGTGCCTTCAAAAGGCTGGGACATGGTACATGTCAGGGGACCTGGAGAGAACGAATGACTGAACAAATGACTTGATTATTTGCTCCAGAGCCTCTCTGTTGGCTGGGGAACTGCGGGGCACATCTGTCAGTCTACAAGGAAGAGGAAAAATGTTGAATTGACTCAATTATCCCATCAACTTTAAGAGGAAGGTATTTTCAGCCAAGGAAGATGGTTCAGAGGTAACAGCATGGACTTGGCCAGGGTGGTGCTGGAGCCTAGGCCTGGGACTCTTCCTACACAGATCATGAGTTCTTGGCCTCTGTTCCCAATGTTCATGAACTGTCCTCCTGCCAAGGCAGACTGGAGACTTCTGGATCATACCCTGGGTTCCTTGACTTCCAGTCCATCTGTCTCCACTGCACCCCTGGCTAAGACTGCTGGTGTCCCAGGTACAGGGAGGCCTCAGCCTGCACATGAGGCCACTGACTCTGAGTCTTTTGCAACAAATTGCATGAAGGGGAGGCCTAGGCCTGCACTCACCATGAGGTTGTTGAACTCTTTTGTCACCAGAAAGGCCATAAGCCAGTTGGTGAGGACACAAACTCCAGTGGCCACGCCCTTAACATGCAGAGGAAAGATCTCAGACATGAGGAGCCAGGGGATGGGCCCCCAGCCTATTGCAAAGCCTGTGGGAGCAAGATAGCATCAGAGCCCAGAGTCAAGGAGCCCCAGCCTCCCAACCTGTGGGAATGAAGGGTCCTGGAATCCTGGGTCCTCTAGCTCTGTGCCTTCCTGCTGTGAGGTCTTGGGCCAGTTACTTCCTTTCTTAGGCATGAAGCCTGGTATCTATAAGATGGGACAGAGAGGGGCTGGGGTTGTTGCTCAGTGGTAGAGCACTCGCCTAGAACATGCAAGGCACTGGTTTGATACTCAGCACCACATAAAAATACATAAATAAAATAAAGGTATTATGTCCAACTACAACTAAAAAAAATATTAAAAGAAATAAGATGGAGGCTGGGGTTGTGGCTCTGAGGTAGAGCGCTCGCCTAGCATGTGTGAGGCCCTGGGTTCGATCCTAGGCACCACATAAAAATAAAATAAAAATATTGTGTCCACCTGTAACTAAAAAATAAATATTTTTTTTTAAAAAAGAAATAAGATGGGACAGAGCTGGGGCCTACTCACAGGGTTGTTATGGGGATTAAGTGAAAGGAACACAGAGGGCTTAGTTCAATGCCTGGCACATGGTCAGAGCTTCAGACAGAGAGGTAAGGCTAGGTAAGACTGGACTTGCTGGCAGCTGTAGGAACCTGGCAGCACAGGCATGGGGACAGTGGCCCTCACCCAGCCTCCCACGGGGCCCCTCTCACCAGCGATGAATAGACACATGCTGCCCACGGCCAACCAGGCCAACCCCACATTGGTATCAACAGGCTCTGCAGACACAGGCACCAGGAGGTCCACGTGTGAGGAGTTGGAGCCATCCTGGGTCAGCTTGAAGTAGGTGCCAAAGGCACTTGTGCTGAACACCATGACCATACCTGCAGGCAAAAGGCAGGAACAGGCAAGGTACTCGGGAAAATGGCAAGAAGGCAGACCTATTTCCTCAGAGCAGCCAGCTGGGCACTCGGGCACCTTGGCTCCAGAAGCACTGACTGGATAGCACCCTGCCACCCTGCCTTAGACCCTGGACCTCAGTAAACTCTGAGAGGTTCCTAAGAAGACACTCTCTGGCCTGTGAAAGCAACAACAGTAATGATGATGGCATTTTAATACCACCTAAACAGTGATCTTTGCAATGGCCAGTGGACACCAAGTGTCCATGGGTAGGCTTGCGCTCAGGTCCTCACACATGTAGATTTTCTCTGATCTGCCCAGGAGCCTTGAGGGAGGCAATGCCATTACCCACATTTCACAGAGGCTCAGAGAGGGAAAGTCACGTGCCCAAAAGGACCACAGCTTCTGGGCCATTCTGACCTCTCAGCCCTCAGTTTCTCCAGTGTGAGCTAGGACCATGATGGTGTCTTTTTGTAGATTTGTCAAAGAACCTGTAGCTCAGTGAAGAGCTGCCAAATCACAGCCTGGTCTGTCACAGTCTCTCTTCATCAACGCTCAGTGGCATTCAGACCTGTTGGCCAGGGCAAGGGCTCTCCAGCAATGGTGAAGGGATCTTGGCCAGGGCACCCTGTATACACAGAGCAAAGTCCTCACCTGACAAGGCCAGGAGTAGTCTCCTCCCAGCTCTGTCCATGATGAGGGCTGCCACGGCTGTGAACAGCACCTGGATGGTGCCCATGACAACTGAGGCCAGACTGCTGTCCTGGAGGGGATAGAGGCCGAGGCTGGACAGTGTGCCAGCCAGAGATGGGTACCTCCCTCTGCAGTCCTATGCCAGGTGATGAGGCCCTGGGCTTGAGGAGGCAGCCCCATCCATATGGCATCTGGATAAAGTCGGCAGAGGCTTCTTACCTTGAACTTGGCCTCCTCAAAAATGGTCTCTGCATAGAACATGACGGCGTTGATCCCTGACAGCTGCTGGAAGGCCATCAGTGAAATGCCAATGAGGAAGGGCTTGTAGATGCCAGGGTGTCTCAGGAGGGCCAGCTGAAAAACCTGCTTGAGGACAGGAGCCACCAGTGCTCCTCCACCCTGTCCCAAGGGTCCTCCTGGAACCTACCATCCTAAGGCTTGCTGGAGAGGAGTGAGCCTCAGCTTCCTTTCCTGCCTCATCTGGGGCCTCAGGGCAGGTGCAGAGACAAGCTCCAGCATTTGTGAAATGAAATGGTCCTTACCTCCCACAGCTCTTCCTGAATGGTTGGAGGAGTCACAAAGAGATTCTGGTACTTGGGCAAAGAACACTAGTTTCTTGAGTCCCAACAACCTTCAAAGTACCCAGTGCTCACCTTGGGCCTGGCCCTGGCTGAGCACCTCCCATGGCCCGCTGCACGGGATCCTCATCACAATGAGGCACTGTCCCAAGACACCCATTTTACAGATGAAGAAATCAAGTCTCAGACGGGAAAGTCACAACCCGGAAGTGGCAGAGTCTATCTGACGCTAAAGCCCAGACTCTTGATCTTCTCCCCCACCCTACAACTCCCTGGTTAAATCCAAGTCCTCAATTCTGCATCTGTAATTTCCTCTGGCCTTTTTCTTCTTGGGATGCTAAGAATCCAGCTGGGATTCAGGGGCTGGGAATGTAGTTCCTCAATGGTACAGTGCTTGCTTTCCATGCACAAGGCCAGCAAACACACACATACAAGAGGAATCCCCAGTGACCTAAGGTTAGGGCCCAGCTAAGTGGGGTGCGGGCCTGCCCAAAGAAAGAACAGCACTGGTCCTCACTAAGGGCAGACAGGCACCCCCTGTAGGTGTGTGGCCTTCGGTACAGGCTGTTTCCCTCAACCCACCTTCCAGCCACTCACCTGGTGCTCAGACTCAACAGAGGGCTCTTCCCAGCCCTGTTCGGAGCCCCACAGGAACTGCAGGGCAGCCATGGCCTCCTGGCGCTTGTGCTGAGTCAGGAGAAAGCGTGGGGTCTCTGGCATGCAGCACATAAGCAGCAGCATAAAAGAGGGGGGCACGCAGCCCAGCACAGCCAGCCAGCGCCACTCCAGGACTCGGCCTGGTGGGGTGCAGACATCAGAGCCAGAACAAGGAAACCTGCATCCCCCACTTGCCAACCTGATACTCAGCTATAAAGTGGGAATCTTGCTACTCTGTGGGTCATGTTCATTACTGATATTGCCATTCTTTTTTTTTTTTTTTTGGTAGTTGTAGATAGGTAGAATGCCTTTGTTTATTTTTATGTGGTGCCGAGGATCAAACCCAGTGCCTCATGCATGCTCCGCAAGCGCTCTACCACTGAGCTACAGTCTCAGCCCGATATTGCTATTCTTGTTGTTCATAAATGCAAACACCATGGGCTAGCTATGGCATTTGGGGCAATGGTGGTAGGTCATTGATATGTACATTCTACATCTCCTCAGTGAAATAGTCCTACGCCATATCACGATGTTTGGTCAATGACAGACTGCATATATGAGGTGGGCCCATAGATTATAATGGAGCTGAAAACTTCCTGTTGCCTAGTGATGCAGTCATGGGAATATCCTATGGTCACGTCTGTGGTGATGCTGCTGTAAACACTGCACTGTCAGCTGTACAAAGGTACAGTACATTCAGTTATGGACACTACATGATACTTGATAAGAAATGGTTGGTTTGGGTTTATGATTTGTCACACTATACTTTGAAAATTTTAGAGTATACTCCTACTTAAAAAAAAAAAAAAAATCTTGCTGGGCGCGGTGGCACATGCCTGTAATCCCAGTGGCTCGGGAGGTTGAGACAGAAGGATTGCGAGTTCAAAGCCAGCCTCAGCAAAAGCAAGGTGCTAAGCAACTCAGTGAGACACTGTCTCTAAATAAAATACAAAATAGGGCTGAGGATGTGTCTCAGTCAAGTGCCCCTGAGTTCAATCCCTGGTATATCACCTCCCCCAGCCACGCCACTAAAAAAATTCTTGCTGTAGAACAGAGTGCTATTACAGGGCAGCAACCTCATACATCCTGTGCTTACCATAGCTCTGGACTGTGTCAAGAGGCCATGCCCAGTGATTGGCCAAGACCATCTAGGATTGTGGGAATACACTCTAGTATGTTTACACAGAGACAATACAGCCTAACAATTCAGTTCTTAAGTCTCTGTTAAGTGACGCATGACTGTAACCACAAAACAGAATGAGGTGCTGGTTCTTTATGGCCTTGGTATGACACAGCACCATTAGTGTCAAGGGGGTGGGAGAGTAAATGTGCACATTTTTCATAAACACACACAATCTCTGGAGGTCACCAAGAAACACGCCATACTGGCTTCTGTAGGGAGGAATCAGGACACAATGGGGAGACTTTTCACTGAGCAGGCTCTCCCTTCTGGTACTTCTTGAGCGTTCAATCACTTGAACAAGTTATCAAAGTATGAGCACAACTGAAGAGGTGGTAAGATTTTGATTCCTTGATGTAGATGGGTTATAGGAAGAACAGTATAAATGCAGATTTATCTACATTTAAACAAAGCCCAAGGGTTCTCTGATAAAGGGGCTAGGAATGAATTTAGGGTATTGTCTAATTTTTAATTTTTCTTAAGTTCAAAGCAGTGATGGCATGAAACACCTTTCTTCTGCATGCAGGGGGTGGGGCATACATATGTATTTGCTTTAGCAATAAGGTGCAGATAAATTATAGAGGTTCCACAAAGTCTAGTTATTGAGGCATTATTGTCCCCATGACACTTTGTGGTTAATGATTAACTCACACCAGTGAATCAAAACTCACAGAAAATGATCAATGAAAGGCAGAAGCAGCAGTAAGTCCAGATTAAGATGAACCAGAGGTAATGCCGTGGGCAGATGGACACAGAGGATCTGTCCCCCCAAACTAGGAATGTCAATGTCTGTGCACAGTGGAGGCTCTGGCTTGTTTTAGGGCTCCCAAGGCAACCAGACTGCTGGCAGGATTCTGAATTAGTTAGGGTGGTCATTGGGTTAAAAATGAAAGAGCAAAGACATATCTGTCATCTATTCTCAAGACCCAGATGGTGCATCCCTCAGGCCCATCAGGCCCTCAAGGACCCGCATGGACCCTCAAGGATCTCATGGTTCTTAAGCCATCACTCTACTATTCTCATTTGGGACCTGCTGCCAGGTAATTATCATGTGTCATCTAATAGACTAGGTGAGGTTATTTCCATTTAAAGACAGGGAAACTGAGGCTCCTACGGGCAATGAGACTTGGTCAAGGTCACACAGCAGGTGGCAAAGATCATCCAATATCTAGGACTGTTCAGTTTGAAGACTTCCTTCTTTCTACCCTGTTTCTAATGAGGACATGTATCTTCCTGAACCTCTCCCAGGCTAGCACAGCTGTGGCCCCTGGGGTACTGAGGACCAGCCTTCCTAATACTGCACTTTGCTGACACTAATATGCTGAGGGAGACTCAGCATGAAAATTGTCGCAGTGCCCCTCCCACCCCTGGAATCCTCTGGTTTGTGCCTAACCCTACTCAGACCACTAAAGTAGGCTTTTGAGAAGATGAGAACACCACCTTCTCCAGCTGTTCCCTGAACTTAGACATAAGACCTACATATCCCAAGGTTCCAGGGGGGCAGACTGGAACCTGGCATCTTGGCCATTGGCTGTGTGACCCCAGGCAACCCCTGTCCACCATGAACCTCAGTTTCCACATTTGTAAAATGGCCACATAGCCATTAACAGGAATCAAAACAGATCATGCAAAATACCTGCCAGGTAGGCCAAGAGGATGCCTATGACGACCATCAGCTGCACACAGGAGCCGAGCAGTCCCCGGACCGCTGGGTAGGAAATTTCAGAGATATAAATCTGCCAATGATTAAGACAAGACTTTACTCAAGGTCCAAGTGTTCTTAAAACCGAAAGTCCTCTGTCACTAAAAGCTGAGGAGACTCTGCATTGCTCCAGGTCAGCAGAGCCCTGTCCAGGATACCAAGGCCCAGTGCTCTTCTGAAGATGAGGGAGAGGTATAGGCACAGAGCTTCCCAAATGTTCACTTAATGTGCACAAATACCCATTATAAAATGCAGACTTTGAGGCAGTTGGTCTGGTGGGACCTAAGCTTCTGCCTTGCTAACCAGCTCCAGGTGCTCTTGACAGCTGAAGGGGCCTTTTTCCGTTAAGTACATCAATTCCCCAACTCAACTGCTACAAGATGCTCTCTCCTTCTAGGCGCAGGGGCCACCACGGCCCAGCCCACACTTCTAAGTTATTCCATGCCTTATGCCCATAACTAAGACAGCTGTTTTTTGCCCAGTAAAAATGAAAACCAAAAACCAAATCCACTTCCTCCCTAGCTCCTGACCGCCTGCTAGCAGGTGGGTGAAAGGAGAGGCATATGGGTATGACCAGGGAGAGCCCTGAGAAGCTTCTTTCAACTTCCAGCAGGGTGAGGGATGAATGAGTGGTTATCCAAGCCTTGGCCAGCAGCAGTCCACTGGTCACCCAGCAATCACGCCAGAGTCCAAGTCCCTACAGGATCATGCCATGGCCAGGGACTTCAGGTGCAGTTTGCCCAATCCTTACAACCACCTCATGAGTAATGCCATGAACCCCACTATAGGGAAGGAAACAGGCCCAGAGAGATGCTTTGCCCAGGTAAGTGACCCAGGTGTCAGGGGTGCAAAGTGAGCAGCTCTGGTTCAGGGGAGGGTGAGAGAGGCTGGGGAAGGAGACCTGTGAGAAGACAAGGGAACGCAGAAACCAGCAGCCTTTGTTCCAGGGACAAACCTGTAGGGGGAATTTAGCCTTAACCTGGGGCTCTGTTGACCATCCTCAGGTGCCACCTTGTTATGAGGTGGGGGGCAAAAGAGGCACAACTGGGTCCCTGGGTTCCAGTAATCCATCCAGCTGACTAGCCGGGGCCCCGCTGGGCAGAGGACTTCGCCTTTCTGAGGCAGTTTCATCTGGCAGGGCCCTGGCTCCTTCCCAGGGCGTGGTGAAGGTTGGGGAGATAATACCTGTAGGCACGGGGGCCTGGGACCCCATCCAGGAAGACACTCACCGGGGCCACTAGTGAGGCGACGCCGCAGGCCAGGCCGGTGAGGAGGCGGCCCCCGAGCAGCATCCACACGTCCTGGGCCGCAGTGATGACGGCAAAGCCGGCCACAAAGGGCACCGTGCAGAACAGGAGGCTGAGTTTGCGCCCGGCGCGGTCCACGAGCCAGCCGCCCAGAACGCCCCCCGCCGCGGCGCCCAGGGTCACGATGGCCTGGGGGCGAGGCGACCGCGGGCTGAGGAGGGGCCAGGGACGGCAGTCCACGCTCGCCCTCCGCCCCACGCCCTGCAGCCTCAGAAGAAAGGCAGTTGGGTCCCGGGCTGGTGGTCGGGGACCGGGAGACTCTGGGTAGGGCCGACAAGATGCATGCGGCGGAGGGGGAGCGGGTGGACGCGGGGGTCCCAGGTGGGCTGGCGTGAGCCCCGGCCTCACCCCGAACCAGGAGGCGGTACGGTCGTCGAGGTGCGGGGCCGGGGGCACCGAGCGCCTCAGGCTCGGGATGGCCGGGGAGCTGTAGCCGAGCGCGAAGCCGAAGCTGAGGGGGCCCAGGGCAGCGGAGAAGGCGGCGAGGAAGACGCGGCGGCCGCAGGGAGAGCTACGGAGACAGGGCGAAGGGTGAGAGGAGCCGGCAGAGTGGGAGGGCAAGGCCACGTCCTCTGCCGCTCACCCGCCGCCCGGCGGCCTCAGGAGCGGTTGGGACTCTTCCGAGTTCTCAGGCGTCATGTCGGCGACCAACGCTTGCCCAGCTGGCTCTGACGCCCGAACCGCCACGGGACCCGCTAGTGCTGCCTCAGACTTCTCCCGGCAGAGCGGGCCAATGGGCGACGGCGGGCGGTGCTGAGGCGGGATCTGAACCAGTATTAGCCAATGGAAACGCAAGGCGGGGTTAGCATCTGCGCTAGCACCCGCCCCTCAGGTTCAGAGTCGACCACTGGAAGCACAGGGTGGGCGGGCCAAGCGCCCTAGAGCCGCCCCTCGGGCGGACTGACTTAAGTAGAGGTGGAGGGCGGAGTTTGCGTCCGCCAAGAGCACAACCGTCCAATTGGAGTGTGGTGCGAGTCTGGGGGCGGGACCATAAAAAAAAAAGCTACCTCAGAAAAAAGTTGGCCAATGAGGGTGGAGGGCGAGGATTCCCGCCCCCCCCCCCCCGCGTTTGCCCGAAGCCGCCTCTCAGTCGATTTTCAATTAATGACAGTAGGAGAGGGACGTAGGAGGAGCACACTGACGGGGCCCAAATTTGAAACCCCAGCTCCAGGCAGCTGTGACTGTCTTCCGAGGTTAGGTCTGCAGTTCCTGCTTGGCGTTAACCGTTGCCCTGGACCTGGCTGGAATGGCCTGACCCAACTCTGCCCCATTGAGACTCAGGGGCCAAGACTGGCCCAGCGCTTCTGCTGGGGTACTAGGGGCTGAGGCGTAGCTAGTCCTGGGCGCGGTAACCCATCTCCACCCCGCGCAGCGGATACAAAGCCGGTAGGGCCTCCTGCTGAGGACGTGTTAGGCGGGGTCCCCCATTCCTGTATGTGTGATTGAGCTAGGTTTAAATGGTGAACTCTACTCTCCCTGTACCTCACTGACTCTTGAATCTTCATCTTAACTACCTCCCATTTTTGAGTCCCCTGCGGATTCTAGTAACCAATTTGTCCACATGTGCACCCATCATGCCACCGCTGTCAGTGAGGGTTGTGAGGCTCTGCATTCAATTGCCATCTGTACTCAATTCATATCCTACACACTGGGTGCAGGCAGCTGCAGTGGGGGTACTGGTGTAATTCTGAAAAGAATTAGGGCTTTGGGAGTAAGAGATCCCTCCCTGGGTCTCTGTATCCTCATCTCTAAGAGTTAGGGATGCTAATTAATCTCCAGGAGAGTTGTGAGCAGGGTCACAACTATATGAAAGACTAAACATAAGCCAGCATATGCTGGCCTGTATGCTTATGATAGTGGTTGTACTCACTGCAGTCACCTGATTGTACTAGCAACCGATATTTTTCAGTCGTGATTACAACACTATATCTAAAGATAGGCAACTGCCCCTCTGAACTTCCACAGCATCTCATGCCAGGGTTGTAAATTCTTGATTGCAGCATTTATAACTACTTTGTAATCACCTGCTCATTTATTTCCCAATAGACATGAGTTCCTTTTGACAGTGGGCATCCCATGTTTGCAAAGTGGGTGAGGGCCACAGACCCTTTACTTTGTAACACAGGGCAGTAGCAGAGAGGCTTAAGTAGACAGGATGCTGCCAGGAGCCCAGCTTGCACCAGACAGCCTGTGAGTCACAGACCCCCATACACCTGTTCTTTTGGCTGGTAGTCTTCCTGCCCATGTGTGTGCAGACATTGTTGCCATAACAGGCTCTCACCCACTTTTCATTTTTTGTTGTTGTTATTTTTACCCCCTTTAGGTAAATAAAGCACTATCAGCCTGATGAGTAGGGTCAACCTCTTGTCCTCTCTGTACTCCTCAGATCTGACTCTTATCAAATCATAGGTGGCTTTAATGTAAGAAACTTAAAAAAAATGACAGAAAACACAGATACAGCTCTTGAAGCTTACTAATTAACAAGAAAAACACCAGCCAGTTCCAGCTGACCCAAGGCAGAGGTGAGAGCAAGGGCTCTGGGATCAGATAACTTGCAGATTCAAATCATTGCCTCTTCCTGAACCTCAATTTCTTTATTTTATAAGCAGGAATAATGACCCTAATTCACAAAATTGTTGGTGGTGTCAAACTATAGCATGTAATTGATTTTGTATCCCCCTGGCCCCTCTTATACCCATCCATGAATGAAAAGGCGCAACAAAATACAAAGAATGGGAATGCTAAATGCTGCAAAGGGTAGGAGGAGACATGTCTAGTTATAAGAAGCCCCACCTGAGTACACCTAAAAACCACCATTACTCTTTCTTTTCTTTCCGGCTGGAGATTGAATTTCCTGTCTTGCCAAGAGGAACCAGACTCTTTCAACCTGGGTGTGTTGTGCTGAACTGTTTGTGCAAAAGTCAGAGAGGGGAGTCTTCCCGCAGTCCCATGATGAGAGAAGATCCAAATGTCTATAAAATCTGTCAGGTCGAGGTTCTGTCCAACAGTCCTCCGCACTTAAAAAGAACACTTGTAGGACTCATCAAAGCTGCTTTCGTGGGGACAAATAATTTAGAGCAAATTATTAAATTTTTTCCCATGGGTGATGGAGGCAAGAAGACATACAATAAAACGGATTGCATTTCCCAAAGCCAAAGGTAAATTTCCTTCTTCACAAAGCTTAAAATTTTTACAGGAAACATCAATGAAACTGGAGTTTCCCCATCTTTCTCTTCTGGCTTGAGGCTGATAATTCCTACTTCATTTGCACTAGGCCCAATTCACAATTTTTACGGCTCACTCTGAGGAAGGAGCTGGAGAAGGCAGATGCATGGTATCCTTCCTCTGAAGGATAATGATTTGGTTCATGTGAAAGAGCAAGACAAACCCACAAGAGGAGGGAATTCAAGGATTCATTTGATCACAAGGGAGAACCTGGTTATATCTCAGTAACAAAATCAGACAGAATAATCTTAAGACTTTGACAAGTTCCTATGCCTTATTATTTATCAAGAGACACAAGGAGGAAGAAGGAGCTTCTGAGATCCAACCATGCAACTCTTCTCAAGTCTACAGGCAGGAACACAGCTGGTTCCAATCACAGTGAACTCAAACAGTGGGCCAACAGTGCAGAAAGAAAACTTATTTATAATAAAGTTAAAAAGCAATGGCTACTCTTTATAAAAGAAACACATTGTGTGACATAAATCAAAATTATACTGAAAAAATAATTTTCCATCTAAGTATATAAAATATAAGAGAAGTTGCAGTAAATAAGAATGAACATTTTTGATTTATTCAAAGTTTCAATCTAAAACTTCAATGAAATCTATCACCTTTATTACAAGGGAATGATGGTTCCTGAAAGGAAAGAAACAAAGGTCAAGAAAGATGGCACCGGACATTGGAGAGTGACCCAACTGGCCGAGTGTGCAGAAAGTTTGGTCCAATAGATCGCTGACAGGCTGGAGCCACATTTTGTTGAGAAATGATGTTAGAACTGTTTAAAGAGTATAAATCTCCATAAGAAAACTAAGGATGGCAACAAGACTTGGACTGTTTACTTCAAGTCAATAATGTCTTCATCTGAGGAAGCTGTGAGCTGAAAGGGGCTGCTGCCCCAGACCGAGACGGGGCTGCCCTCCCTCTCTGCCACTGGGTCCTGGTCAGAGCTTGTGGAGTGGTAACACGCCTTGGGATTGACTTCAGAAGTAGAAGGACTTTCCAAGGAGCCTGATGGGATCCTGGAAGAGAAAAGTCACTGTCAAGGACTCAATGGGAACACAAGGGAACTGGGCTCATTGGAGTGTCTGCCCTGTCCCCATCCCAATGGGAAAGGTGTGGAAGTACAGGGGTCCCCTCCCCAACTCAAGCCTTGGAATCAGATAGCCCAGCTCTGGGGCTTGTGAGGACTAAAGACCAGGGTGTGACACAGAATTGTTGCTGAAGCATTATTCATTCACCTCTCTGAAGTGAACATCTGGATAATGTCACTCTGCCTCAAATCCTCCAATGGCCTGAGGATAAGCTGAAATTCCTCCCATAGCAGAGGTACAGGGCCTGGGCTGCTCCAGTCTCCAGCCAACCAGTTCCCTCTGCTTTCTTGATAGCTGCTTAAATAATTTGACCCAAACTGGTTCTGTGTCTCAAGGAGGGCATGACTCAACAAATGCTCCTGGGCCTGCTCTGCCTGCTCAGCCTCATACCGCCCCTGACTGTTCTCCATGTTCAGCCTGTCCATTTGTTCCTTCTGTCTCTGGCCACACTGTGCCTGCTTCAGGGTTCTTTGCCCCAAGTCCCTGCAGTCATAGGAACTGTTCCCCTAGTTCCTTATCATTCATTCCAAGCCTAGCACCATGACATTTCCTCCAAAATCTTCCTTGACCCCCTATCAAAGTTGACCTTCTAGGGGCTGGGGCTGAGGCTCAGTGGTGGAGTGCCTGCCTAGCACATGTGAGGCGCTGGGTGTGATCCTCAGCACCACATAAAAAGAAATAAAGGTCCATCTACAACTAAAAAGAAAAAAAAAATTAGAAAAGAAGTTGACCTTCTATTTGCCACCCTATCACTTATATTCTTTAAAATCTCTTTATAGCATTTGTCATTATTTGAGATGATTTGCTTATTTGTTTACTGTTGACTTCTCTGGGGCAAAGTCCCTGGCACTGAGTGTTGGATTAAAGCACTAGTGAGGGCTGCCTCTCCTCTGTCAGGCTCATACACATTTGCCCTAGGATCCATGCTTGATATGCTCCTGCCCGTGTCACTTGTCACCTTGGAAGCAGTGACTGTGGGGCTCTTGACCTTCGCCACTGGCCTGTGAGCCCCCTGAAGGCCCAGATTGGGGCTGGGTCATTTCCATATCTCAACCCCTGTTCAGTGCTGGGTTCTCCAAGAATGTGTGTTGGGTGAACAAGCAAAGATGGACACAGCTCCATTACCCTGCACACACAGGAGCCATAATGCTGCCTGAAGGACAACAGTAGAGCTTATGGGACAAACCTGTGTGACCCCACAAATATTACATGTGATGCTGAACCGCCATTCAGAAGGGCCCTCCCTGTTTACATGTCCAGTGGTTAGTATTGATAGTGTTTGTGTATGGCTGGGGATAGAACCCAGGGGCTCACACATACTAGTGTTATGGGCCAGGCTATATGGGCAATGACCAAACAGACTCCATTTTACCCTGAGACTTCATATCATGTAAGAAATGCTTCTCCCATGTGAAAGCCCTTCCTCTGTAACCATTAATAGCTACATAGCATAACTTGGCAACACAAAATAGCAATTCTTATACAATGTAAAATAGTTCTCCTTCCTTTCCATTTTTCTTGGGCAATGTACCTTGTC